TCCGTTACTCTATCCCAAAGTTTTGGCCATAGTTTTTTAGAGACAAAATAAAATTCCAGATGTCATTCTTCCAGTGTAAACTAGGACTGACCACTGAAAAGTGGCTTGCTGTAGGTAACAGAAATATTGCCGCCTTCTGCACATTGTAAATCTGGGGTCTTGGTAGAGGGATGAGTTTTAAGGCTCCATGCACACTAGTGGGTTTTTTATTTTTTTCGTTTTTTTAAGCTCCTAGAAGCTGTTAGCAGCATCCTTTTTTTCTGCTCCTAGAAGCTAAGTAGTATTCTCCTATGTGTCCATGCCTACTTTTTTTTTTTTTTTTTTTTTTTTTTTTTTTTTTTTTTTTATGCTCCATGCACCCTAGCATTTTTTTTTGGTTTGTTTGTTTGAGTTCATTGCTCAATATTGAAAAAAGGTGGATAAAAAAAGTGGTTAATAGCGTTTTTAGTAGCATTCAGAAGTGTTTAGGAGTGTTAGCGTTTTCAGTAGTATTTTCACAGTACATGTAGGGGGGACAAAAAGGAAAAAGCTAGAAAAAAAGCTGTTAGGAGCGTTGTAGGAGTGTTTAGTGTTTTTTTTTTTTTTTTTTTTCTGCTGGAAAAACGCTCCAAAAACATTCTACACAATGTTTGTTTTTTTCCTGCTCCTAGACGCTGAAGCTCAAAAAATGCTAATAGCTTAAAAGTAGTGTGAATGGACTCATAAGATAACACTAGTTAGCTTCTAGCACCAGGAAAAAAATTGCTAATAGCTTCTAGGAGTTTAAAAAAACTCTAGTGTGTATGGCGCCTTAGGCTAGGTTTTTTTTTTTTTTTTTTTTTCCCCAAGCTTCAGTGTTTTTGGAACTTTTTTTCCTGCAGAAAAAAAACGCTGAGTGCTCCTAAACGCTACTAAAACTCTCCTGACCGCTTTTTTTTCTAGCTTTTATTTTATTTTTTTCTAAATGCACTGTAAAAATGTTATTAAAACGCTACTACAAACCGGCACAAAAATGCTATTATCAGCTTTTTTTTTTTTTTTTTTTTTTTTTTTCCCCTAGTATTTATAAGTGTTGAGCTTTTAAAAAAAAAAAAAAAAACACTAGTGTGTATGGAGCCTAAAGTGAGCCTTGCATTATATTAATTGTGTATAAACCATAAGTGATGGTTCCAGGTAATTATTACTTCTCTGAGATCACATTACATCACCTGACAATGCTTTGATCTATGTTTCTCTCCAGAAAGACCAGGTCACTTTTATTCCAGCATTGTCGATGGTTAGCCTCTACTTCTTGGCCTGGACTGAGATGTTGGCTTAGAGATGGCACAATCATGTAAATGCAGGTCCTGTACAGTTCTTGGCTAAGAGTGCACCATCCTCCATCTGACTATGCCTTCCTCTGCTTTCTTCTCCAGAAGGATAGATCTATTCCTGTTCAGCCTTTTTGCAGGGTCAATATCTTCTACCTGGCCTGCGATGTTGGCTCAGAGATGACACAATCATGTAAATCCTGGTGTCTGTGCTGTTTTTGGCTTTGTTCACAAATGTCTGACACGTCAGCCCTCTCTAGCAGCCTCTTGCTTTGCGACTTGTTCCAAACATACAATGTTGCTGGCTGATCACTAGGGAGGAGACTGAGGAAATGTGTTTCTTCCTACCTGCAGGATATTGATCATACCACCTCAGCTGTGGCAAAGTCACTTGTGGGAAACTAAATGGTTGTTTTTTAATGATACAAAGTGTTGGTATTGGTGCTAATTTTTTAATTTTTTACTTTTCACCATCTCTGTGATCAGAGTGTAGCAGTTATAGGAATTTAAAGGAATCTGTTAGGCCTTATTCACACTGGCATTGTCAAGCCTGCTTTATATGTGTTTAGAGGACTTTTCTAAATTTATATAATGATTTTTCAATGGTGCCGTTTATGCTGTGTGTTTACCTGTGTTTCAGGTGCGGTCAGATTAGATACGTTTAGAGAAAATAGAATTTTGTGGAACACCAATAAGGATAAAAGCAATATCTATGTTGGCAGCTCTAATATGTATATCTGATAGGTTCCCATGTGTGACGAGTGTTGATGTGGTATGGTGATACTTGTAGAAAATGCTAAAAAAATAGAAGTGTAACTTTTATCCCACCCCCCACTTACCTCCTGTAGGTCCATCTCTTTCCACTAGTTTCATAGAACACCACACACTCAAATCTAACTCTCTATATGTCTAGACTCTCACCAAAAAGGTGACAATTAAGGTTTACACAAAACTGGTGTGGGATTGTACATTCCTGTTCTGATTGTTTAATATTGTAAAGTGACATTAGAGTTAAAGTGCAGTCATCCAGAGGTTGGAATGGGCTTGGTAATCCTGGGGACACCTAAAGCAAAGTGGAAGTATAGGCAAAACTGGTTTCTGGTTTTTTTTTTTTTTTTTTTTTTTTTCCTTTGTTTTTTTGTTTTTTTTTTATGTTTTTATTTTGGGACAAAAAAAAAAACAATTTATTTTTTGCTGTCTGTGATTCATTGATTCCTTGGGGGAGATTTCCCATTTACTTCTTGTTCTGGAGACTCAAGAGTAAATGCATGGAATTCTTTTTCAGTGTTGTCCCTGGAATAAGTATGTCCATTAGAAGATTTAACTCTTGTCCAGGTGACAAATCCAAAAGTTTTGGCTTTTTTCAATTTCTGTCTCAATGACGATGGACACCAGAACAAATAAAATAGGTGAACCTACATAGTGGGGACACCAATAAAAACTTAAAAGGTGTTTTGAAAGTGCAGTAAAAGCTTCCAACTAAAATTCATCTTTCCCTACCTCCCTAATTTAGAGCATTGTCTCGACTGGAAAGTAACATGTCGCCTATAATTTTATCATACAAGCTGCTAGGTCTGTTCTTTTTATATCATTATATTTGATGAATTTCTGTGTCATTAGTGAACATCTTATACTATATTCTATCAGGTACTCTTGCATTTTGTTAGCAATAAAGTTAATTGGCTCCGGAGAGTAACTTGCGCTATTGTAAATGGTTGCAATTTTAGAAATGCTTTGTTGGTGCTTATGTTGGAGCCCACAGGTACCAGAAAAGCTTACACACTTAATGAGAACACTACTTCTGTACCATATGTCAGATGTTGGTTGTTTGTGTGTACAAACTCCTCCAGTAATTAAAACTCATTTTGAAGTGATTGCATGTTTAAAGCTTCAAGGGTAGTTATTACCGCCACAGTGATATTGCTCTGGGTATGCTAGAGTAAGCATTACATTTCATTAATTATAGAAAGCATATCTTGTTTAGTTCAGATTCTAATTTTAAAGACCCCATGCTGTTGGCTCATCTAGGTTGTAGCTAAGTGACCAGTGCTTATCCTGACGTGAAAACTTTTCCCCCTTTCTTTTTTTTCCCGATCCAAGTTTTCTGCCTACGTATCAAAGCACAATATTCTAAGTTTGTTGTTTTTGTTTTTTTTTTTTTGTAGTAAGGTTATTGGCAGACAAGTTGAATCCCCTTTTCTCCTCCTGACAACTCATTTTTGTATTGTCTGTATTCCAAAAGAGTGATACCAAAAGGTACAAAGAGTAGAAATATCTCAAAGATCAACCTTGCAACTGATCGTTCCTATGTGTCTGAATGCCTATATGAAAAGAAAATATCTCCAAGGAAATCGTCTGACAAGCAGAAGTGTTTAGAAACCTATAATTGCCACCATTTTAACGTGGCCCTACTAGTTGAGTCATTGTTGTGCAATAATTATTTGATGTCTCTAAGTACCTTTTTGCCGTAATCTGGTATCAGGTATTTTTTAGATTCCTTAAATGTGGGAGGAATCTCCATTATACTGCACAAAAATTTAGTTTCCTCAGGCATTTTGTAGCTTATGAGTCCAAAAAGCATCAAGTGCCTTATAATGGTAGTAAACTGCACCTAAAAAAAAAAAAAAAAAAAAAAAAAAAAAAAAAAAAATCCCCTGCATGGTAATGTCATAATGTGCTAGGTTGTATCACATACTAGCACATTATGAAGGACTTGCCTTAAAATGAAGCCCTTCAGCTGTGCATTGTCACCATTGCAGAGGCTTCCATCTTCACCCGGTCTTCCTTCTGGGTTTGCAGGCTCCGGCTGTCTGACTGGCTAAGCTGCAATGATGTCACTCCCATGCATGTGTGTGGGAGTCCAGAGCCATGACACAGTGCTCTGAAGGAACAGCATGGGTATGGTGTTCCTTCAGAGAGCATGCGCCGGCTGTCAAAAAGAGCTAATATCTCCTCAATGGTGCACGTTTAGGAGATATTCATTTTGCCTACAGGTAAGTTTTATTCTAAGCTTACCTGTAGTTAAACGTATACAAAAAAGAGTTTATTACCACATTAAGCTGGCCATAAATGGATCGAAAACTGGCTGGTTCAGCAAGTACCGGACAAATTTCGATCCATATATGGCAGATCCTGTTTGAAAGAAGTCGCTCTAAGGATTGGCTTCTTTCAAATGGGAATGTTGGAAAATTTTCCTATGATCAATTCTGCAGTGCTGATCAGTGTATTCTGACAGCAGAGGAGTCCCCACTGTCAGAATACAATTGCATAGCAGGGAGGATTCCTCTGTCCACCTTGAATGCGTGGATAGTGGAGTGTGTGTGTATATTTTTATTTTATTTTTTTTTTTTAACCAGCTTGCTGTTCAAAAAGAAAACAATCCATCTATGGCCAGCTATAGTTGTTAGCAGCTGTCTTTGGGTCCCTGTAACTCATTTTTAAAGTAGGGAAAGGTTAGAAGCTCGGCAAGGTTTTTTATGGCTATTTGCATTATCATCTCTTACTGTTGTGTCATGGATATATGAAGTGAAAATAATGTCACCGGCAAGGGCTCGGCTATAAAAACTTTTATTATCACATGTCAAGTTTTTGTTCCTGTCTATGTCCCCTTTTTGAGGACATCTCACTTGATGTCATCAGGCTGTGGTGTACTTGTCTACTTGTGTGTGATTTGTGCTTGTCTTTTGGACACTCTATTTTGTTCCTTTGCAGGGGTGGCATGTGGGAGTAACGTAGATGTGGACAAGCATCTTGAAATGGGAAAAAAATTACTAGCAGCTGGCCAGCTTGCAGATGCCTTATCTCATTTTCATTCAGCTATCGGTAAGTGTTTCATGTATATCGAAGCTAGACATTACTGTTTGATAACCTGTGTAGTGGCAAGATTATGTACACATTTCCTGTTACATGTTTGAATTAATGTTCTAACAGCCTTCGTGAACGATCCCCAAGAATGTTTAGACGTGTTGTACACATAGCTAATGTTGGCTAGGTATAGTAAAATTATGATCTTCATTCCCACCTTTGAATGGGCAATCCCACATTAGAATGTAAGCAGAGAACTAGTACTGAAATCCCATTGCAGTTGATTGGTGGGACCCCGTACTATTATCTCAGATCCACACAAGGCTGTAGAGGAATTTCCAACAGCTGTGGAGGTATATGGGTGGTTTGCAGGCACCAGAATTTGGTCTTTAAATAAACACTTAAGGGTACCCAGGTGAGTATAGCATGTGTGCTTCCCTCACTTCTTGTGGCTGTCCTGCTTGAATTTGGATTTTCCTGCCTGTATTTGAATGCTTTTCTGCTGTACGATACGTTTTTTTTTTTTTTTTTTGTGTATATGTCTACTGTGCTGTAACAAATGTCTACTGTGCTGGAACCCCCTGGAGAGCCATTGCATCAGAATGGACATGCTCTGATATGTTTTCATGTGAAGCTATTGTCGTGACTAGGCTGCACCTATGGCGGGAACCTTTTGATTCATTATACACAAGGGGGTAAAGCCTGGCTCATAATTAGATTTGTTTGTCATTAACATATATTTTGTATTTTTTTTTTTTTTTTTTTTTTTTTTTTTTAATTTATCCGTCAAGTCATTCATGGTATACCACTTTAAACCTTTCATCAAAATGAGTGATTATGAAGGTTCACAAACAGTACATTTTTTTTGTCATAAGGAACCTTAAAGTGTTACTAAACCCAGGCCCCTGCATTCACTATATCTGGTCTCCCATAGTACACACAACATGGAAGTGCAATTATTTTAGTAAATATAAACTGCTAAATACCTTTTTTTTTTTTTTTTTTTTTTTTTTTTTTTTTTTTTTTTTTTTTTTTTTCCCATCAGCAGTTAGAGCAGTCGTGTGACTTCTATCAGTGTCCAGCAGAGAACTAGCTAAAGTTTGTAGGAGCAGTTTTCTTTCTGCTCTAGGAGGATGGAAATCCCCTGACCTCTGTCTGGACAGTGATTGGCCCTGTGCTGATCACATGCACTTTCCCAGGGGAAAAAAAAAAACTATTTAGCAATACACACCAAACTGAGCATGTGCATGCCTTCGGTTCAGTCTGGAGATAAGTGGTGGTCACTTGAAAAGGGGAGGAACAGAGAAGAAAGGATCAAACAGCCTTTTTTCACAATTCAGAGGATTAACCCCTTAGGTTCCACAGTGAGTATAACAAGCATGCTTTACTGCATATACAGACTGAGTTTACTGTTGTGGGTTTAGTAACACTTTAAGATGTTTTCATGACATTTTCTATATTAGGTTTGGGGTGAGTTACATGGGAAAGCGTAGGGGCTGCTGGGTTTTCATTTCTACTAGAGTCCATATAAAGGAGCAGAGGTGTACTGGTGCCCTCATAGCTAGGATTAGGCTTGCTGCTATGCTCAGGTGTAAGTAGTAAGTGCCCTAGAATCTATAACAATACATTGACAACTTAAAAGATAATTTTACTAGACATAAGAACAATAAATCAATTAAAATAGATTAGTTATACACCTGGAAATCATGGCACTTGGTTTATTTTCATACAGGTTTTTGTGTTTGTGTATAATAGACATTTATTTTTTGAAGGGTCTGCTTAACATTCTAGAGGTGTACTAGAAATATTTACCACAATAAGGCATATAGAGTATTTAAAAAACATTTATTAAAGCATGAAGTAGAAAGTGTTCACAGAGCACAAGCTCTGCTATCAATCAAGCCTAGTAATTTATATATATCTGCACATAGAGGTTAATGTCTTTTTACAGTTTTTGCTTTGTTTGATGCCAGCTCACTGTCTTCCTCTCTTTTGTTAGATGGAGATCCAGATAACTACCTTGCATATTACAGAAGAGCCACTGTGTTCCTGGCCATGGGCAAATCTAAAGCCGCAATTCCTGATTTAAGTCGAGTGATTGAGCTGAAACCAGACTTCACATCAGTATGTAATACTTCTAAAGCTTAACTTGAGGGCAGAAAAAAAATAACCTGCTTCTAGAGTATTTTTCTGCCTATAATCACCACTTCAGAAGGTTTAAACCTTTAATATGTGAAACAGGACTTGGGAGATTTCAAGTGTTGCTGGATGTGACTGAAATGTGATGTGGAAAAGCAGGATGATGCAGACACTGCTCTCACACTCATTATAACCATGGTCAGCCTGAAGTCCCCAGATGTGGAGGAACTACATGTCTTAGCATGACCTACCAGCTGACTGAGTAGGCTGATGCTTGTAGTTTCACATTTTTGCTTCACTCTTGTCATATTATCTTATGGAAATGTATATAGTCTGTATTTATATGTAATATATTGTCATTTGATGGTGTGTAGGTATTGTACTTTATACACAATTTTTTTTATATATTTGTATAACACCAGCAGTTTATAACACACTTTACATATTGTACTTGCATGTCTTTGGAGTATTGGAGGAAACACAGGGATAACATACAAACTCCCAAGCAGTAGGGTCCTAGTTGGGATTTAAAGGATCACCTTTGGAACATGTTACAATTATCCACCTGTTTTAACATGTTTTTAACATGTAGCATGTTTCAGCTTACTTTTCCCAAGTATCTAGCTGGTTGTGAGTGCAATGCTCTGCAGGCTTTACCTGCAAAAAATAAAATGTGCATTTATTATTTTTTTTCAAAAGATGAACTTATCCTGTAAATTGAGGATCCTAGTGCTGCATGTCAAAAATGCTAACCACTAAGGCTAAGATATAATTTTTTTTTTTTTTTCCCCCAGTCTTGGCTACTAAAAGGCATCTAGGCTACAGGCCATACATGACGTTTTTAACCAGCTATCAATATCCAAAAAATGAATGTGTCAAGACAACCTACATCCAACAGTTTCAATAGTTTTACAATATCGATAGCAACTAGCTGGTGTGTTTTCATTAATCTGTTTGATCATTTCCGAATCTAGAGCTTGTTAATTGTAGATATTGCTATCATTGTTGCTGTCATTCTATTTCTGGGTGCTATTACTTCTTTTATTGTCTCCTTAACCCTTTCGCTGCCTTGTCCATACAGCGTACGGACTTGCAGCACTGCTTCTAGCTGGCCAGGTCCATTCACTGTGTGGACCTGCTTCTGCTATAAGCTCATGGTTACTTCAGTGACAATGAATTTATAGCAGAATTGTCCAGCAGACTCTGCTGAACAATTCAATGGCTCTGATCAGCAGATGACAATCCACAGATCAAAACTAGCGACCTAAAATGTGACCCAATAAAAGTCCATGGCGTTCAACCATAAAAAAAAAAAGTTATAATCCTACACCCACAGTTGATCCAGAGGAAGGCAAAAAACCCAGCAAAGCATGATCCAATTTGCTCCTGCAGGGGAGAAAATTCCTTCCTGATCCCCCGAGAGGCAATTGGATATTCCTTGGATCAACTTCACCTATAAATGTTAGTAACCAGTTATATTCTGTGTATCCACAATCCACTGAGCTGGCCAGAACCAACTCTTGAGGAAGTCTATTCCACATTCTCACAGCTCTTACTGTGAACAAACCTTTTTGTTTTTGGAGATTACATTTCTTTTACTCCAGACCTAAAGAGTGCCCCCTTGTCCTGTGTGATGAACTCAGGGTGAAAAACTCTACCTATATGAACCACTGATGTATTTATACATGTTGATCATATCCACCTTTAATCGCCTCTTCTCAAGAGAGAATAAATTGAGTCCCTCTAATCATTCCTCATAGCTGATCTCCTCCATGCCTCTTAGTTTGGTTGCCCTTCTCTGTACTTTCTCAAGTTCCCCAATGTTCTTTTTGTGAATTGGTGCCCAAAACTGAACTGCATATTCCAGATGAGGTATTATAGTGATTTGTACTGGGGTGAAATGATATCTCTCTCTCTGGAGGCTATACCTCTTTTAACACGAGAGGATTTTGCTTGCTTTAGAAACTGCAGCTTGGCATTGCATGCCATTATTAAGCTTGTGATCTACCAGAACTCCCAGATCTTTTGGGATTGATTGATTCCCCCAGTTGTACTCCCCCCTAGTATGTATGATGCATGCATATTCTTAGCCCTCAAGTGCATAATCTTACATTTATCAACATTAAACCTCATTTGCCACATAGTTGCCCAATTGAACAGTGCATTGAGGTTGGCTTGTAAATTGGAGACATCCTGTAAGTACGTTATTCCACTGCACAGCTTGGGGTCATCTGCAAAGACTGAAATGGGATTTTTAATCCCAGACCCTATATAATTTATAAATACATTAAAAAGTAAGGGTCCCAACACTGAACCTTGGGGTACACCACTGACAACCCTAGACCATTCAGAGTATGAATCCTAAATTGCTACTCTATGAATACAATTATTTTAGCCAGTTTTCTATCCATTTACATACTGATTAATCCAAGCCAGTAGACATTACCTTACACATTAGCCATGTGTGGGGAACTGTGTCAAACGCTTTTACAAAATCCAAGTATACCACGTCCACCACCACCCCTCTGTCCAAGGTTTTGCTCACCTCCCCATGAAAAGAAATCAGATTTGTTTGACAACTTCTGTCTTTCATGAATCCATGCTGTCTGTTGCTTAAAATATTTTTTTCCCAGCAACAACTCCTCTATGTGGTCTTTTTATTAAACTCTCCAGTATCTTCTGAACTATAGAAGTTAAACTAACAGGTCTATAATTACTTGGCAAATATTTTGACCACTTTTTAAATATTGGCACCACAGTGGCCTTACGCCAACCCAGTGGTACTATGCCAGTCATTAAAGAGTCCCTAAAAATTAGAAACAATGGCTTTGAAATGACAGAGCTAAATTCTTTAAGGACCTGTGGGTGTATGCCATCCAGTCCAGGTGCTCCTTGTGCCTGTGTGGGTTTCCTCCAGGTACTCTGGTTTCCTCCCACATGCCAAAGACATGCTGGTAGGTCAATTGACTTCTGCTTAAATTGGCCCTAGTATGTGTATGTATGTATGAATGCAAGTTAGGAACCTTAGATTGTACGTGCCTAAGGACTGATGTATATATTATGTAAAGTGCTGTGTAAATTGTCGGCGCTATATAAGTACCTGCGAAAATAGAACAGATTTACCCTCTGTAAATTGTTTCACCTTTTATTGTCTTGGAACATTGATTCAGGCTGGGTTTACACAATTGTGGTGTGATTAATGTACATGGGTTGTGCTCCTTTTTTGAATGGGCTGTCTAACACCCCAAAGCGTGCCTGACCGTGTTACCATGTTGTGGTGCAGTGTAATGCACATCTGTTGCCAAAGTGCATTGGGCCAGGCTTTGAAATTATGGGGCACTTGAGGTATTGCTAGGTTGGATAGTAGATCGGATATACTTGGTAGAGTTATGGTTTTGTGAGTGAAACATGGGGGGTTATGGTTGTATGCGGTGCATGGTCTAAGTATGATGGAGTGTTTAGGGGGACATTGGAGGCCCTGATGTAATGTGGGGGGACTCTGGAGACCCTGATGTAATGTGGGTAACATTTAACAGTGTAATTTCATGAAATAATTTACAAGGGCGTGTTTAGGGGCGGAATTAGGGATGTAGCAGGGTAGGGGTTGGGTGGGTGAACTGGTGGCGAGTAACTCTCAAGGCCTGGCTAGTAGCTCAGGACTTGAAATTTTAAGCCCTGCATTAGGCTATCGTTGCTATGTATTACTATAGCACGATAGTGTAAACTTGGCCTCGCTATGGATTTTTTTTTTTTTTTTTTTTTCTTTTCTTTTCTTCAAACCACTTATCAACTATATACTTTAATGCTGAACTTTGCATATTTCTATTGGTGCAGCCTGGGAAGCATGCAAAAAAAGATCATAGCTAGAGTTTAATTTAAAGTGAAAACGTGTCTACAAAGTGATTTAAATAATCTACAGTTAATACGTGCAAAATACATTACCTGTAATTTGACACACATACTTACAATTATTTTCCAAAGTCACATCATAAGTCAAATGAAGATTACCTATATATGGTTAAAGGGTTTCTATTGTGTGTAGCATAGATGCATGTGAATCCTGAAGACCAGTCTTTTTGTGAACCGAGAACACTCCCAGCAACTGTTTTAAAAGGTGAATGACAAAGTTACAGTATGAATACAACAAAACTTCCAAGTCTCTGCCTATATCCCTTGATCAATCATCAAGACATTGAAAGAATATGCGATATGTCAGTCTACAAAGAACAGGTTATCCACCCAAAGTGGGTGACCTTGCAAGACTGAGACTAGTAAGAGAGTCCACCCAAATAACTTACAAACGTCTCTGAGAAAGTTTCAAGACTCAGCGGCTGAGATTGGAGAGTCTTGCTTGGGTACTTTACCAGTTAAAGCTTTATGGGAGAGTGTCAAAAGAGAGCCACTTTCCACTAAAACTTATATGACATTTTGCCAAAAGTTTACCAGAAGGCATGTGAGAGACTATGAAGGTAGCTGAAAGATGGTTTGTAGTTTGAGGAGACCAAAATGTAGCTTTTTGGACATCACACCAAACTGTTATGTTTGCCAATGGAGAAACTCTACACACTCATAAACGCAACATTACAAACCCTGAAGTACAGTGGTGTTTATATTCGTGTAGATTCACACATGTGCTGTGTAAATTGAAGCTCTGTTTTCACAGCTAATTGACAAAGTAATCATTCAGTGATTCAGGTCAGGTTTATATCAGGATCAGGACAGAATTTTATCCTGTTCACAACTGAATGACATGTGCGACTCAGAAGCGTTCCCATAGAAGTCAATGGGTCTGAATTTGCACTTGAGCCGGACCGCACTGCTCAGAAAACTGACAGGACTCAATCTGCACTCTGACTGCACCGTATATAAGTGAACAGGCACAACAGAATGCAATGTTCTTTCACATGTCATGCAAATTGGATGCTGTTCAAAATGCATCCAATTTACATATATGTGCGAACTGGATCTTAAGCTGTGGTGATGCCTGGAACACTTGTTAGGGTAGAGCAGGGGTCTCCTAACTTTCCAAACAAAGGGCCAGTTTACTGTCCTTCGGACTTTAGGGGAGCCTGATTGTGGCCAGGGAGGTGGAAAAAGGTCTCAGGACCAACATCGGTGAGCGTAAACAGCAAGGTCTCAGATGCAGTGTTCAGTTGAATTGTGCCTGTGGTCAGTAGGAGGAGGAGTAGTGCCCCATCATTGCTATCAGTGGAAAGAACATTGGCCCATCATTGATATTAGTGAACGGAATAGGGCCCCATGATTGATATTAGTGGGAAGAATAGTGTCCCATTGCTAGTGTCAGTTGGGGGAATTATGCCCCACTTTTGGTGTCAGTGTCCCAAAGGGCCTCAGTTTGGAGATCACTGGGGTAGAGGGTGGAAAAAATACTGAAAAATCCAAGAAGATTCTTTTGTTCTGCTTGTCTTCGGGGGGGGGGGGGGGGGGGGGGTAATAAGACCCCAAGCATAATCCCAAACTACACAGGAATGGCTTAAAAACAACAATGGGTAATGTTCTGAATTGATCAAGCAGAAGTCCAGATGTCATGATCACTGTGCAGACTGACTACGCTGGAGCAGTTTTGCAAAGAAGAATATGGAGCATTGCAGCGCCCAGATGTGCAAAGTTCATAGAAACCTATCCAAATGACTATTATTGCTACCAGTGGTGCATCTGCTAAACACTGATTGAAGGGGGTATATCCTTATGCAGTCAGTTATATATACTTTTTCATTGTAATTAATTTAAATCACTGTTTGCCAATCTGTTTTTACTTTGACATTAAAGAGTGTATTTTTGTTGATCAGTATAAAGAATAGGTAAAATAAAAATTCAGTTTCAGCCAATATTGGCTCTTTTACACTCTCGGACCATGCTCCTACTCGCTGCTCGCAGGCTGCTTGTGCATGGCACTGGAAACTCTGTGAATCCTTGCTACATGACCCCACATACAAAAACCAAATCACTCAGGATCTGCAATCCTTTTTTGCTACTAATGACTCGTTAGACACTATGCCTTTCAATTTGTGGGATCCCTTTTTAAATGCGTACTTTGTGGCATGTTCATTAAGTTATGGACCCAACAGAAGAAGCTACATACTTCACAAATTGACACTTTATTATCTGAAATCTGTGTGCTGGAACAGGCTCACAACCAACGCAGGTCCAACAAGTAGCGGAACAGCTTTTAGAGCTACGAAGTAGACTGAAATGACTGTTAACCGAAAAAGCCAAGTTAAAGGATAAGTTCACCTTTGGAAACATGTTACATGTGCCACTCCTTTTTAACATGTTCCCATAGCCTTAACTGCCTGTACCATCTGTCAAATTTGAAAACAACGTGGCCGCGCGGGGCTCTGCCCACAGGGCCGCAACATTCATTCACGGACATCCGTGAATGAATGAACTGCAAGTCCCAACAACCTTAGCCGGTGTCGGGTTGTAGTTTTCAATAAACTACCAGGGCACTGTGGAGTAGTTCATTGAAACTTCCGGTCAGAATATATGCTTGCTCTTACATCCTGTACGGCAAGCAGAAATTCTGACAGGTCTGCAGGAGACCTGCATGGCATCAGCGACTATATTACGACTATATACAGCATGGAAACACAATCCTCTTTCCATACAAGGAAGCGTAAATTTACAACAGCATCATGTGGCCTCAGAAATGCTGACGCTTCCCCCAGATGTAACTTCGCAATTAGATTTCCCACTCACTACTGATGAATTCGTGGGAGCTCTTAAATCCATGAAACCAAGGAAGGCGCCGGGTTCGGACAGCTTCAGTTTATTGTATTACAAGATGTTCTCTGCTACTTTTGGCCCCACAATTTGTAGCAGCCTATAATTCTCTGAGAGATGGGCCAAAATATCCCTGATCGTAATTTCTAAGGAAGGGAAAAATCCTGCTCATTGTGCCAGTTACCAGCCAATTTCCATTCTCAACATTGATCTAGAAATCTTCGCAAAAATTTTGGCTTCCATACCGATCCTTTTATATCCCCTCCCTGATCAGTCTGGTTTCACTCCAGGCAAGAACCACACGCAACACGTACTTTATGCAATTCATTATTCCCAGACCCGTCATTTTGGCTCTGGTGCTTTTATCTGTGGATGCGGAAAAGGCATTTGATAGGGTCGATTGGATTTTCCTGCAAGCCACTGTAGAACATATAGGCCTCAGAGCAGGAAGGCAGAGATGGATAACCTCGCTGTACTCCGCTCCTTCTGCTAGAGTACGGGTTAATGACATTCTCTCAGGTGCCTTCTCAATCCGTAACAACACTCGCCAGGGCTGTCCCCTTTCACCACTCATTTTTCTGCTCACTCTCAAACCTTTCTTGAGAACTATTCGGGTCCACCCTGACATTATGGGTATTACCACCAAATCTCAGGAGCATAAACTCACCGCTTATGCTGATGATTTAATCTTTCTTATTACTTCCTCCAACTATTATGCTCCCATCCCTCTTAATGGAATTACACAGATACGGCCAACTCTCTAACTTTAAAATAAATTACAATAAGTCTGAGGCAATGGGCATTGAAATGCCCCCTGCGGTGCAACTTCAACTAATCTCTCACTTCAACTTCAAATGGACAACCTCTCATATACAATACTTTGGGACAAATATTCCCTGTGTCCTTCGTAGGATTTTGAATTAAATTTTTCACCCATGTTCCACCAATTCAAATCTGTTCTCCAACGTTGGGACAGGCAGACGTTTTCTTGGTTCGGCTGGACTATTGACTTCAAAATGAACGTGATGCTGTGTCTCTTCTTTGTTTTCCAAACCCTGCTGGTAAAACTCCCGCATAGTTTCTTGAAAGACTTGAGGGCACAATTCCTTTGCTTCATTTGACAAACTGGTGAGAGTTTGCAGATTCATATTGTTGCTGCCCAAGGATAAGGGGGGCATTGCTTTCCCTGACACTGTAAAATACTATGAAGCTTCACATCTGACTATAGTTATGGAATGGTGTGTTACGCAACTTCATAAACCTTGGGTTGACCTGGAACAGAGTACTGTGAGTCCACTTTTGGTGGGACTCCCATCGGTTCCCTCTCACTCCTGTCCCGCAGAGGTTATGCGGCACCATACGAGTTACTACATCTCTTTTTCAAGCTTCCACTCTCTCACTATACCCAAGCCCTCTGATTTCTGCACTCCAGCATTCCACTCGGGCATGGGAGACCCATAAAGCTTCACTGGCCAGTGGATGCCAAGAGGAAAACTATAAGATCCTCACGCAGTGATCCAGAACTCCAGCTAAACTGAACCGTATGTTTCCTCGGGTCCCTAATATCTGTTGGTGCTGTGGGGACTCTGGAATGTGATGGAAACCAAAATTACCTCCTGAATGTCACCCCTTTATCCAACAAGAAATTCAAACGCTCCTTACTTAAACACCTGCTCATGGCCGCGAGAAATGGAAAATCTTACCATGTTATTGAAGGAAAGAGAGGACAGATATTGGAAGATTTGGACTCGTTGACCCACAAACGCCAACAATGGGGTACTATGCCTCCCACTGTCTGCAATGACGGGGCACTATTCCTCCTCTCTGACAGCAACGATGGGGCGCTATTTCTACCCAATGAAGGAGTACTAATTACTTCCACTGACGCCGAGGCATTTTCTAGTCACACTTACAGACCCCCCCCCCCCCTCCTCCCGGAGCCTGAACTACAGTAAACTGGCCTTTTGGCAACCAGGGGTCACAGGAAAGAAAGTCGCTTGATTTTTCTTCATCAACACAGATAGTGTTGACAGAGGAAAACCTCTCACGAAGCTATTATGTAAACTGTTCACATATATGCACTTCCAACTGTTTTTAATAAAGAACATTCTATAAACACTTATACAGGGGGTCTGCAAATGCTGCAATGTTTCAATAAATATTCAATTATTTCCTGATCTAATCATTATAAGGCAGTAAACTTCGTGTTTAAAACAGACAGGAAAGTTGGTCTTTCTTTGTTCTTTTTCTTACCTCTGTATTTGATTGTTTGTTTGCAGGCAAGATTACAAAGAGGACAGCTTTTTCTGAAGCAAGGAAAATTGGATGAAGCAGAAGAGGACTTTAGGAAAGTGGTAAGCACTCGGCAAACTTTGATATATTATTTATTTATTTTTTTTTTTCCAAAGAAACAAACGGCTGTAAAAACACAGTAAGAAAAGCTGTACACATGATTATTATTATGCTCACACCTTAACAAGGAAATCAGAACAATTTCACATTCTGTTTTAATGTGCCTGTACAAAACCACAAAGTATCGGTTCTTCGAATATCAAACAACATCTGAAATTGTTAATGCCACTTTCACAAACTCCAAACTGTGATTTAGGTTTACTGCCCTTATTAATGAGAACTCCCTTTAAAGGGGACTTATCCGTATAGAAAATTGTGAAATTGCATGTCTTTTAGTGCATGCCCTGGTGCTGTCATCCATTTTCTTTGTATTTGGTGATTTACTGATCTGTAAAAAGCATGTATAAATTGGGTGTGGGGATACGCAATATACTTTTTTTTTTTTTTTTCAGGTCATTGACTGACAAGGTATTGAAGACAGGGTTAGAGTGCTGCCCCACGACATGCACCTTGAAAAAATGGTCTGCAATGGCTGCTTTATATTTCTGCCATCAGAAATAGTTCCCTTTTAAGAACTTGCCTTAAAAGAAACTATTCTACTCACCAAACACTGATCCTGGTGCAATAATGTAGTCAAAATTTTGCCTGAGAAGTAATCCTTGTTTTACATAGATGTGCAAACAGGAATAACTCCTTAAAGTGGTGTTCCACTCACACTGTAAACCAATAAGTCAGCAGCTACAAAAACTGTAGCTGCTGACTTTTAAAAAAAAAAAAAAAAAAAACAGTCACTCACCTGTGCCACAATCCTGCTGTGTCCTCCCCACAGTCCATTTTACCAGCTGTCTGGTGTTTCAGGTGCCAGCATCTTCAGTGTGGGCACCCGGCTGTGACAGCGTGTGGCTTCACGGCCTGGTATCCACTGTGCATGAGCTTGTAGCGCTGCACTTCCTGAATGGCCCCGTATTCTTCTGGGACCTGTCACGTGTCTCAGAAGACTACGGGGAAGGAGGGGGGAGGACAACTTCTGCTTCCGATCCCCAAAGGTGCCAATCCTTAATGGTGAAATGGGGGACCAGTCTTTAAAGCGGAACTTCCCCTTTTTGGGGTGCTCAGGGTGAGCCTGCTCTCTTCTGTGAAAAGTGGAACTCCGCTTTAACCAAGGATGCATTATTTGAACACCTAGCCATAAAGCCATAAAGACCTGTGTATTATGATCTTGAGCTGGTAACACTGTAGAAGTCACACATCGTTTGTTTAGGGCTACCAGTTTACAGTGTTTCAACAGATCAGCAAATTACAATACCACCAGGGTGTTTGGTTTTGTAAGAGAAGTACTACAATGTGGTGAACATTTACATTTCCTCCAGATTACTTTCATATTTGTGTTGAAATGTCAGGAAAATACAGTTGGACTGGGATAGAGATTTGCATTATTTCGATTCCTGTAAAACTGATCTAAGTCTCCTACTGCTGAGGCTCTACTTGAGAAGGTTACCTGCAATTGCAGACTTTTAGTCATCGAGGACAGATTGACTGCATTATGGCCACTAGACAGAGTTGACGAGCATAGGAAATAAACATATTAGACATAATTTGGGGATTATTTCTAACTGCTGTGTGAATGCTTGAGACATTCACTGAGCAAACTTTTTATAAATAGACTATGAACTATTACATACTCCAGGCATTTTTTTTTTTAATCAATCATATTAGTAATGCTAGTACAAAATAGATTTGAAATGTTTGAAGAAAACATACCTAAATGTGGAAAATTTTAAAGCGTAAAAAAACAAAACTACCATGAGAAGCTAAAGCAATGCATCTATTATCAGATGTTGTTTTTTTTGTTTCATTTTTATTGTGAAAAACACATTGGGCAGGTAAACAAGCAAGGAAAACTAAAGTGAACAGTATCCTGCTTGTCAGTAGAAACAACACAAATGTTCTGAGCTTTCGAAAACAAGGGATTACTATGGGGAACATGAAGACACACCATTAAACATGTCCCTGTTGCTAGTTGCAGGAAATATCTCCTGTAGAACATCTAGGTCATACTGTCCTTCTTTTCAGGCCTGCACAATGTCAGCAGATCAAAAGTGACACCTGCAGAGAAGAAGGTGAATCACCAGACAATTACTGGGAATGAGAATAGGCAGCTTGAAAATGTGTTTTCCCTTCACTTGTCCCAATCTCACTTTAACATTCCTTTTTGTACTTGTAATGGGAAGAGTGACTTGATACAGGTGGAATTGGACTGCCAGAAAGTGCTAATTAAATGCACCATAACCATGTAATTTAGATCTGAATGGCTTAATCCAAACCAAATAGTACCCTGCATTTCACTGGGATAAGAACATATCTAGCTATCTGTTTGACTATCCCTTATATGTACTGTAAATCTGTTTAAATAGTTTCATGCCATAAGTGTTGCTGTCTGAACTAAAAACTAGTGAAAATAAGAGAACATATTCTTAATGATTTAAAAAAAAAAAAAGTTTGACGTCAGTTTTCTTCCCATCTTTTTGCTGTGTAACATCTTTACATTCTTTCTGAGCCCACCCATACAACCAGTACCTATAGATAAAACCTGTTTGCTTCCCCTTTTTAAATATATATGAACCAACAAAAGTGCAATAAACAACCAAAATATACCATAACTAAGTATATTATTTCTCAATAAATATTTACAGGTGAACAAATTGGTGAGTAAAATTCTAATCATATTTCCCACATCTCAAACAAATACTTTATATTAATATAAAATGAAAAAACTCTGCAGTAGAAACAAAGTCCATCCACAGGTGAAGTGCTGATTGGAATCACACATGACACCAAACACAGCCTCTAACCAGAGATATCAGACCTTTTAACGTCATAAACTGTCAAATGAACCCCCTCAAGCATAATGGGCCTGCGGGCTGAAGGAAAAAAAAAACCAAAAAAAAATCCTGACCGCTCAGAAGATAATGCTGTACTAACTATCTGATGTTAGTACAGCGATCTATCCTGCTGTGTTATTGTGTCCTGACAGGCCCCCCCCACCAGAACATTCCGATTAGCACTCTCAGCCATTGGCTGAGAGTGCTGATCGGGAGCCGATCAGCAGACCTTTTTTCATCATGCCCCTTTGACAGAAGCCAGCTGAATGACTGGCATCTGTCGGACTGGCTGCTGTACACACACGCCGAATGTCGGCCAGTTTATATTGAACCAGCCGATGCCGCCCGACATTTGGCCCATGTGTACTAGGCTTCATTCAGGCAGCACAACTCCTCAAAACATCATAAACGCACCATGGAGAGAGGAAAAGGACAGATTGGCAGTGCAATACTGTCACACGGTTTTATCATAAAAGGCACCAATGGGTACTTACATGAGAAAAAACAAAAGACAGCATGTATCAGCCAAACACAGTTCTTCAGCAAGCATTAAATTGTCAGCTACTCCACCCAACATGTTTAGTCGCTAAAGAATGTCTTCAGTGGCCAGTGCCTGTTCGCTTAAGTCGGAGAGCAATTAGAAAGGACTATTTTGATTTAAGAATGTGTACTTGAATAGAATTTTCTCTTTTTAAACCCAAGTTTTGTGCCACTTTAGGCTAGCTGTATGTTGAATGTAAAAACTCAGAAACGGATTCCTCTTTCTACGCTATACAGCATGGAAGGACAAGTGACCACTGTCAGCTTGTCATTGCATTACAGCTAATGAAGATCGGGCGACGTATATAACCATAATTGTACGAAGGTACAGATGACCAAAGAAAACAGTAAGAGGAGTTAGCTGGTACAATAGCCATTGGCATCATTGGACCTGGTAAAATCATCCAGAATGATGGTAGTGATGTTGGGAGGGAAGAATTGGAAAAGCTGTGCAGAGAAAGAAATTAGAAACTGGGCTAGGAGTTTAGTATATAAGAGGCAGCAATATAGTTAGTTTAAAGGGGCAGTAGTGCTCTTGGCTGACTGGTTCCCCTGTGCTAAGGAACTATATTTCCATACATATGGTTGTTTGTCTATTATATAGTGGCGATCCTCATTCCTCTATGTGCAACTGGATACAGAGCTCAGCTTGTGTCTTCTTATCACAGCTGTGTAATCCTGTAATGTCTCATTGACCCCTGCACAGAACTCTTTAAGGTCAGTCACAGGATTTATCCAATGGCATCTAGAAAAAGTGGCTTTCTTACATCCTGAAAGAAGTGCTTACAGGCAGTTTATATGTTGGATCTGTGGAACAGATTCCGATTTTGGGATATTCCTTAATTTGTCCACCAGATGGCGGCAGAACATAAATGCAATATCTTGAGCCACTGCAGTGAGTGTCAGTAAGAAGGCATAGCTTGATGCAACTTTCATTTCCACTGACCTGTAGTGATAAAAGGTGTACTATTGTCACAGATCCAATTATACAGGCTGTTAGGATTATATTTATGAGCACCTTGAAAATCAAATTATGAACTTACTGTTGTGGATTTCTTTTATTTACATCTTGTTTTTTCCCGAGGACAATAAAAGCAAGGTGTTTTGGAAATCTTCATTATGAATAAATGAAAGCATTTTAATGAAACAGGGTGCAGTGCTGGTATTTTGTGGGTTGCTGTTGCTGTTTATACTGCATTCCACTTGATTACATCTATTTATTTTTTTTATGTAAAATCCCAGGTAATCTGTGCTAGAGTAAAATGCTATTTTTTTCTCTCTCTAGGCATTGTCATTTTTACCATTGTATCTGTACCCTGCACATACATTTTTTTTTTTTTTTCTGTCGACAGTGTTTGATTATTCTGTTTTAAGTTGGCTTTGAGTGGCATTGGTTCTGTAGAATCAGTAAAGAGCCAAGGGCATAATGGGCTGTCTGTGACCCACAGTACATCTACCTCTCACTTCTAAACCATTTGCGGCAAAGGCTTGTACAGATTTTGAAGCTTCGCACAGGGCAGTCTCTGAGGTGCCAACAGCTGTCTGAATATCCTTTTCTAGTTCAATGTCATTCAGTCACT